GTTAATTCTTATAGCTGCTGTTTGCTGCCAATACATATTCTTTATTATTTATAGATCTTTCCCATCAATGTTTAATTTTTCTAACAGTCTGATTACTTCTTCATGCTTCACACAGTCAAATGCTTTTGTATAGTCTATGAAGCATATGTACAAATCAGTCTTTACTTCTATAGCTCTTTCTGACAATGTCCTTAGGATGTATATGGCATTGTTTGTACCCTTTCCTTCTACAACTACCACATGCATAAAATAAAGATTGTACAGTCCCCGCAGTGTGCCTGTCAAACACGACCCCAAACACCTGAGAACATTTTGCAGACCTGCCCACTCTACATGTAACTTCGAAAAGACACCTGGCCTCAAGAGCAAAGTGTGCAGAGCAAGCTATGGGGAACCATGCAGGACCTGCAGCTGACATGCGAGTTCATAGAGGCAACCCACCTGATGGTCTGATCTGAGCATACGAAACCGAACGCAAAGAAGAAGAAGAAGAACCCAGTGAAACTAGAATCCAAATCAATGGTAGAACAAAACAAAGGAAAACAAACACAAAGTTCCTAGGTGTGACACGGACGAACAAATGACCTGAAACAAGCACATCGATGAACTAGTACTAAAGTGCAAATAGTACAATAATATTGAGAATGATTAAAGGAAATAGATGGGGAGCACACCAAATCACCCTACTGCAATTCTACAAAGCATGCGTGAGGGGTAAATTGGAATACGGAAGTGTAGTTTATGATTCAGCATCAGAGGTCAGCAAAAGTAAGCTTGATAGCATTCAGTGTCAAGCACTGACAGCCATTATGGGTGCTGGCAAAGGAACAGGAAAGGAGGCAATGGGAGTTGCACTAGGCATCACACCACTCAACCTCAGAAAGAAGCACACTATGCCAACTGAGCTTTAAAGTGTTCAGACACCAAATGAACTACTTGTTACTTAATAATCGTCAGGTTCACGTGGTGAACTTTAAGTTATGTGTGCACACATGTTATACAGACCTCTCTTATTTGTAAGCAGACTATTGATTCCTTGCCTCTCAGGCAATACTCATATTTAGTCAATTTTTTAGTGCTTATGTTAAAGAATAGTTGAAAGAAGGCAGAAAGACAATTTATAAATAAAGTTTTAAAAACAACACCTTAAGACAAACAGAGGAATTTAAGTATTTGGGAGCAATTTTCACATCTAATGGAAAACTGAACAGAGAAATTAGCTCAAGATGTGTCAAAGGAATGCGACAACTCTCTTCCCTGTTGACACAAAAGCAAATATCCCAGAGTACTAAAGTGAATCTTATCAGAACTATTTTGTTGCCAACACTATGCTATCAGTGCCAATCGTGGACACTTACATCCTCCAATGAACGTAAAATTGTGACAACAGAGATGAAATGCCTTAAAAGAGCTGCGGGAGTTTCAAGGAAAGACATAACACGAAATCACAAAATCAGACGAATGCTAGGAATAAACCTGTAAGGAGAAGACAAAGAAGTACTTTGTAGGGTAATGGGAGATGAGACCAATCTGTATATCAGAGCTAGCATTTGCAGACGATGCAGCCCTGATAGCTAAATCAGAGGCACACCTTCAGTCGAACTTGCTTGTCTGGATGGAAGAGCTTGAAAGGAGAGGGACGATCATCAGTATCTCTAAAACTAAAACCATAGTGATCTCAAGAGAGCAGAAGAAACACCAGATCATGATGGTACAGTATGCATTGGAGCAGGTTAACCAGTTCAAATACCTTGGAGTTGTATTAGACTGAAATAGAGGTATTAGGAATGAGCTGGCTACATGAAAAGCAGCTGCCGGGAGACTTTTCTAGGCCATAAACTGAGGGTTTCTTAGCAAAATAGAAGTACTATCTGCCACAGTGAGCCACACTAAAATGATACAACAGGTATAGAGCAAATGGAAGACCTCAGAAAAGATGGTGTAATGGCATTAAGAACAGCCTTACAGAAATGAACATCAGTCTTAATAGTGCTCGACAGAGCTCATCAACAAATGTTACATCTCCCCCGATACTTTGATGAGGTACAAGGTGGAAGAGAAAAAGAATAAGAAGAAGTTAAAGAAGGGAAAAAAAAAGGAGGGTGGCAGTTAGTCTATTTTTTTGTTTCCCGACACTGGGATCCCAGAACCAACACAGGGACCCACCAAAAAAAAAAGGTGCGAGATTAGCCAGCCCCCCCCCCCCCCCCCCCCCCCCCCCCAAAAAAAAAAATCGATGTTACTTTTTTGAAGTAAACATTTATAATATGTTATTTCTGATACATTATTATACAGTTTTTGCCACTCAGCACATAATATTAGTAGCAGCAGTAATAATAATGATCTCTCTTTTAACACAGCAATTAAACAAAATTTGAGCCTTCCCTTGGCAAAGAAATTGTAAGGGGTTTGAAATTACGCCCCAATTGTTTTCTTTTTGCTTCTGTGCCCCAGCCCTACAAATGGTTTGAATCTCTATCCCCTGTTTTGGTGGGAACTCTGAACAGATCCATAGGTTATCTGATCTCTTTAGTAGCTCCACAAGAGCAAAATGACTGATTACGTCCATTCTGTGCAAAATGACTGCTCCAGATTGCAGCCTCATGTCCACCAGCCTGGACAGGGATACTAAGTCCCGCTTGTTGTCCTGATCTTCTTTGCAATATGCATCTCCCATGGCACCAATAACATAGCTCCTGGCCAGTGCTGGGCCAGTCATGGTAACTGCCTGGTCTGCCAGATAATCTGATTGTCTGGAACACCCGCATAACCTTGTACAAAGACAAAGGTTAGGCAAGTTTTGTGTGATGCATTTAATGAGAGAATCCACTGTTGTCTAATGAAACTGGCCTGGATTTTCTTGAGGATTATCAATGAATCGTTTGGCGTGAATCAAGGACAGCAATATGAAACAGTCAACATCAGCAGCTAAAGTGTTACAGCAGACAGCAGTTTGCATGAAAACAGGCAACATGAAATAACAGCCAACATCAAAGAGCAGCCATAAAATAATAGCCAACAGAAAACAATAGCCAACAGAAAACAACAGCCAACAGAAAGAATAGCAATAGAAAACAACAGAAAACAGTGACGAATATCAAACAAACACCTGACAGAAAACTTTGAACAGCAGCCAATAGAAATATGAAACTGTGAGCAACATCAAACAACAACCAACATCAAACAACAGCCAACATCAAATAAGAGCCAACATCGAACATCAGCCAACATCAAACAACAGCCAACATCAAACATCAGCCAACATCAAATAAGAGCCAACATCAAACAACAGCCAACATCAAACAACAGCCAACATCAAACATCAGCCAACATCAAATAAGAGCCAACATCAAACAACAGCCAACATCAAACAACAGCCAACATCAAACATCAGCCAACATCAAATAAGAGCCAACATCAAACAACAGCCAATATCAAACAACAGCCAACATCAAACATCAGCCAAATTCAAATAAGAGCCAACATCAAACAACAGCCAATATCAAACAACAGCCAACATCAAACATCAGCCAATATCAAACAACAGTCAACATCAAACATCAGCCAACATCAAACATCAGCCAACATCAAATAAGAGCCAACATCAAACAACAGCCAATATCAAACAACAGCCAACATCAAACAACAGTCAACATCAAACAACAGCTAACATCAAACATCAGCCAACATCAAACATCAGCCAACATCAAACATCAGCCAATATCAAACAACAGTCAACATCAAACAACAGCCAACATCAAACATCAGCCAACATCAAATAAGAGCCAACATCAAACAACAGCCAACATCAAACATCAGCCAACATCAAATAAGAGCCAACATCAAACATCAGCCAATATCAAACAACAGCCAACATCAAACATCAGCCAACATCAAACATCAGCCAACATCAAATAAGAGCCAACATCAAACAACAGCCAATATCAAACAACAGTCAACATCAAACATCAGCCAACATCAAACATCAGCCAACATCAAATAAGAGCCAACATCAAACAACAGCCAATATCAAACAACAGCCAACATCAAACAACAGTCAACATCAAACAACAGCCAACATCAAACATCAGCCAACATCAAACATCAGCCAACATCAAACATCAGCCAATATCAAACAACAGTCAACATCAAACAACAGCCAACATCAAATAACAGCCAATATCAAACAACAGTCAACATCAAACAACAGCCAACATCAAACATCAGCCAATATCAAATAAGAGCCAACATCAAACAACAGCCAATATCAAACAACAGCCAACATCAAACAACAGTCAACATCAAACATCAGCCAACAACAAATAAGAGCCAACATCAAACAACAGTCAACATCAAACAACAGTCAACATCAAACAACAGTCAACATCAAACAACAGTCAACATCAAACAACAGTCAACATCAAACAACAGCCAACATCAAACATCAGCCAACATCAAATAAGAGCCAACATCAAACAACAGCCAATATCAAACAACAGCCAACATCAAACATCAGCCAACATCAAATAAGTGCCAACATCAAACAACAGCCAATATCAAACAACAGCCAACATCAAACATCAGCCAACATCAAATAAGAGCCAACATCAAACAACAGTCAACATCAAACAACAGTCAACATCAAACAACAGTCAACATCAAACAACAGCCAACATCAAACATCAGCCAACATCAAATAAGAGCCAACATCAAACAACAGCCAATATCAAACAACAGCCAACATCAAACATCAGCCAACATCAAATAAGAGCCAACATCAAACAACAGTCAACATCAAACAACAGCCAACATCAAACATCAGCCAACATCAAATAAGAGCCAACATCAAACAACAGTCAACATCAAACAACAGCCAACATCAAACATCAGCCAACATCAAATAAGAGTCAACATCAAACAACAGTCAACATCAAACAACAGTCAACATCAAACAACAGTCAACATCAAACAACAGTCAACATCAAACAAATGCCACTGACCAGGTGAAGATATTTCTCTGACAAGCAGGCAATATCTCTGTGAGTTATCTCCTTAACCTGTTTCAGCCAATCAGTGAGCTCCTTGTACTGCTGCAGGAACTCCACCAATGAAACAGAAGGTGTGCCAAGTAAATCATTATCACTGCCCAAATGATAATGATCCTCATTTGATTTCTGAGAACAAACATTATAACAGAAAATAAAGTTTAAATTTGTCAAAGGAAACATTAACTTTTTGACTCCCAAGGAATGCATCACACGTTCATAGATTCCTACCTAGAAGCCCAACGAGCACAAGATGCGCTGATTTTACGTCTTTCTTGACTACCCCTTGGGCCTGTGATGCTAAACCCCCTGGGACTCAAAAAGTTAAAAGAGAATAAATTCTAGTGTTGTAGATTAAAAGTGATTAAAGGTGTAAAGATCTGCTTCAAAGGTTGGGTTTTTATCCCATATTTCTAACAGCCAAAATGAAGAAAATGATTCAGCTATGATGGACAAATTATACTGATTAACTTTACTGTAATTCAGAAGTTCAGTTGTTTGCACAGGGATGTAATATTAACACACAGATTCCCTGTATGGGTTCTGGGGCCCCTTTGTCATAAGAGTCATCTCATTGACAGCTTCCTTCGAAGTCAGAGTGCGTCTGCCTGAGAGGCAAGGAACCAACAGTCTGTATACAAATAAGCCAGATCTGTAAAACTGATACACATGCAAAACTTAGGTTCTGGAACAATGCTAAAGTCCAGACATGGATGAACAACCAGGACTTTCTGTGGGAGTTTACAGCCGAGGAATGCAAACAACACATAAAAGCATGAGCAGTTGTTGTTTATTTCCCATATGGATTCAGAGTCCCCATGAGTGGGAGAGGGGGGGGGGGGGGGGGGGAGAGTAGACCAACACCCCATTAACAAGCATGTATATGTCCCCCAAGAAGCATACCATAAAAGGTAACTAATTAGGGGCTTGCTGAAACCGAATGTGCTGGGTCAAAAGGCACACATATCACAGCCTAACTGTAAACCACAACATTACGCACCAACTGCAATTTTAAAGGTGAACACAAAGAAGAAATTCTGAGTATGGTGCAAGTTTTCTTCAGTAACAGCATGTATCCTTGTGTCACCATTGTGAAACATAATGTTGGATTTAGCAATGTTATATTTGCTTTGTTTAACCCACATTGAATGTAAAAATTCTTTTTCTCATCTCTAATGGCATGGATTATTGCATAAAATATTCTTTATTTGATAAAATTCAGTTTTGGGCTGTCCTATTCTGTTCTTTATCTCTGTGATAATCTTCTATTGGATGTTATCCATGTGCCTAGATACTTAGATTTCTATACTCATCCTTAACACATGCGAAACAATTTCCTGAGGCCCTCGGAGATATGGTTTTACAGAAGAATCCTTAAAACACCTTGGATAGCAACAACAACAAAACAAAACAAAAAAGCGAACCAAGTGTTTTGAAAAAGGTGAGAGTTTGAATACAAAAATATCACAGACAGGATAAAAAGATAAGTCATCATTTTTTTGGGTCATGTTACGAGAAAAAGGAAAATGGTATCTGTTGAGACAACTGGAAAGATCTATAGAAAAAAGAGACGGAAGAAGACAATGCAAGGCAATTCTTGACTGCCTTTTGACATGGTATAGAGGGGGGGACAACACATGAACTGATACATGCTGTTAAAGTTCGCAGACTGTGGAGAGGAATGATCACCCACATCAGTCAGCAAGGCACTTGATGATGATGACGATAACTACATGTACATGCCTAATAAATTATATTTTAAGAAAAAAAGTTCTTCAAAGTTAACTTTACTTACCTCACAAGCTTCAATAATATCTTTATCAGCAAGAAAGATATCCAGTGATCCTATGGCTTGCCATAACTCATTCTGTTGTTCCAGTGGAGTAAGTGTGCCAGTTGGGCTGCTGCTAGCTGTACTGGAAGGGTACTTTGCGCATGTTTTTGAACTGATTGTATTAGTCGAGGCATCTGTACGCAACTTATTTTGCAGTAGATCTACAAAGCCATCAATTAATGTTACCCCTGTCTCATATTTGTCTTCAGATTCTTTATCAGTATATGCCAAACTGGCTTTCTTTGATGCCTCTGATTCAGTAAGGTAGAAATCATTGTCCGAAAACCTGGCATCTGTATAATTCTCAGTCTCCCCCATTTCCTCAATGCATGCTGGCAAAAACATTGCACCAGCAAAATCTGTTCTGCAACCAAAATCTTGCTCAATTCCTCAACAACCTTCCAACATGGCACCTAAGATTCATCTGTCTTTATTGTTGTATGAAACACAACCCAACACAGTCACACGTTAAATTGTAAAGATACTCTTGATGCAGTCCATTCTATCTGACTTAAGGTAGTACATACAGTTCAATCTATCCTATGTCAGGTTGTATGAAATGTATTTGTTGTATGGAGAATAATCCAACACAACCATATCTTTCTTTTTTTAAATATAGCTGTTGTGATCCAGTCCACCTTACTTTAAAGTGTGTGAAATCACACTTTTGTTGTATGAAACATACACTTAAAATAAAGCTGACCCAGTTAAATCCATCTGATTCCAGGTGGTGATGAATTACATATTTGTTGAACGAAATATAACCCAACACAATGATATTTTTATTTTAAAATACTGCTGAGGTAATCCGGTCCATCTTACTTCAGGCCGTATGGAAAAGCACACTTGCATATGAAAAACTAGAAGCTGCAAGCAATTACAAAACAAAACAATTCATCGTCCATGAAAAACAATTCTTTTCAGCATCTAATTTTTAGTTTACTAAAGGTTTCTAAAAACTTTAGATAACTTTGGCTTACATTCATCTGCTCCTAAATAAAGACAATTCACTTCTCACATCTTGGTCCACTGACTACTGTAAAAATTGCTTTTAGAAATTAAAGTGTCTAATGTTCTATACTGATTTATAATTTAACTAGATATTTTATGTTGCCATTACAAATGTTACTTTCAACATCAGACAAGTAGAAAACATGCAGCGTAATTTCAGCAAATGGTTTGTTTTCAAACATGGTATGCTTAAGAATCAATAAATTGTCTAGTTTTGTTTATCAGTTCAATTTCCCACATTATTACAATTTAGCTCAAAGTTTGCTTAATGTCTTCAAAATCAACACAGTGTTTTCTTTTCCCTATTCTAGTCCATATTTGCATAAGGTGTAAGTATGCTTAATATTTACTTTTCAATCCAATACAAAGTATACTTTTCTCTGTCAGTTTAAATTCCACACAAACTAATACTGCTTTTCACCTTCAAACAAAAACAATGTCTGAGATCAGCTTAGTTAAAATCTGCTTTCACAATAAATCTCAACACTTTCACGTTGTATATCCAGATACATTATTATTTAGTAATGAATATACTCCATTCTGAACATTAGACTTCAAAGAAAAATCATGTTCTTGGCAAATCCCTGATCACATATTTAGACACAATGAGCTGTCTACTGACAGGTTTTTAATCCATATTTTCCTAAACTTGGTTTTCACCATCAGCTTCTGCAAAAAAAATATTACAAAAGAAAATAACAGGATAATTCAAAGTCAAATGAAAAGTAAAACTACAAATTAAGTGTTTTTCTCAAAATAATTTGGTTCGAATCCCAAATGATGAAAATTTTGTCACAGACTTGAACTATCAGGTCAACCAGTTTAAATAGGTACCAGGAATCATCATGGGAAATAAAGGCAGCCTGTATGTTACTGACCACATATTTTATTGAATTCCTTCCTGTGTAGGATCCAGGGTGCTATGCTGGGCAGGGTGATGGGGGCGGGAGGGGGTAGACCAAAACTGCCTCCCTGTCAAAAAAGGCTTCTTATTAAGGGTTAGCTGTAATCAGATGTGCTGAGCCTGAAGCTGCAGCTTAGCTGTAAACCACAACATAACACGACAACTGCCTTTTAAAGGGTGGCGGTGGGGGGGGGGGGGTATGTTTCTTCTGTGTCAGCTCGCCTGATTGCAGTGGGTCTCTGTTTGTTTAGAGGTATCCTTTGGAGTTCCAGCTTCTTGCACACAAATAAACGTAAACGATTATGTCTGGTAGTCTGGTAGTCTTAGTTTCAGCTTCATAGAAAACGGGTCACCCCATCTTTGCTCCACTCCTGTGCCAACGAAAAACTCACAGAATGTTTATCACAGTATTACAATTGCAGTTCATCATTGATGGTAGCAGAAGTCGCCAACAGATCAGCAGTTGCCCACGCGATCAATTTTAATCACATACGGGCACCACAACACTGCACGACAGGCATTGCACCATTTTCTGAATCTACAATTCACACCAACACGTTGGTCACAGTAGAAAAAACATTCCAAATACAATCCGCAGCTCGCAGTGTCATGCCATGCATTCAACTCAGAAGCTGGGCGACAAAACTATATCCAGTCTACAAATGGAGCAGAAATGCATCGGCCACCGTCCGGCAGAAGCAAAAAATTTGCCTGTTTCGAACCGTGCCGCTGCCCAATGTCCATTTTGACCAGAATCAAGTTACTTTCTTATGAACACCAAAACTAAACGACTCCAATATATTACTTGGTTAATAGTAAGTAAGTGACAGATGTGGTCAAGGCTCCTCAGGGACAAGCAACGGAATAAAGTAGAGAAAGAAGATTATAATGGCCTGGAGAGAATGAGGCACCTGGGTGTAGCCAGCAGAGGGTCTGGCCGACTCACTACACTCAGAGGAAAGGCAAGACGGACATATATAACCAGATTGTGACCGGTACCATCAGTACTGGAACTCTGTGCTGGCTCCTGAAGATAAGGCCGGAGCATGCATGGGAATGACACGAGTGCTGTGATGTCAATTCTTGACTCAACTCAACTGAACTAGTAAGTAAGTCAGTTGTACCCCGCCAGGACATCACACAAGCGATAAATACCTGGTGACACAAAGTGTCAACATGCGGATGAAGATCACCTGTGGAGATATCCCGGGAACCCCGTTCAGCCATCAGGCTATATTTAGGGCCCCCAGCAAAATCCAGGGTGGGGCTTCAAATTAACAAAAACGAAGGCTAAGAAAATACCCTAACAGGGCCTCAGTCATATGTAAATTGTGGACCTTTCTGGCGACTATACCGCCACCGTCTAGAATATACCCTGCACCGCTACCCGCGACGCGGAGGGGGCTAAACTAGATGGCTGGGACTCACGAGCAAATTAAATGGAGGAAGCTGCAGGAGATGCTGTAGCTGTTGCTTGTGAGTCCGAGCTATTTAGTGGTCCGCAATTTACATATAACTGAGGCCCTGTTAGGGTATTTTCTTAGCCTCGATAATTTGGGACCGTTATTCGGAGGATAGCCGAAAATTCCATCCCACAGTGGGGCGACAGGTAAGTAACTTGGGTAATTTTATTAACTACAAGCAATTTCAAGATTAACTGTGTGTGCCCTTAGAAGATAAATCAAGACTCTTCGCGTGACACCCATTTGATTATTCAGTGTGTAATTATGCATGGCTTCTTTTCTATATTACCGCCGTGTCAGTCATGTGTGCCGCCCCCCCCTTTTTTTTCATTGTTTATATTAGTGAGGCCCCCAGATTCATTTGACAGTAAACAAAACGGTACAAACGACACAGAAGTCGTGTGCCGTTAGCTTGAGTTGCCAGGCTTAGCTCAGCTACTGGACTTTGCCTTAGCCAATAGATAAATAATTTTAGATAAATTATTTAATGCAGATAGCTAATAAAATGCAACATGTAACCGTTCAAAGTTTATAACATTACTTACAGGTGCCATATCTAAAACATGAACATTCCAATGGTCACGGCACGCACATTGAAAGAAAAAGCTGCGTCTAGTTTACCACTCACACACCCTCCCTCTCTCTCAGGCGCTCACACTAAAGTCAGGGGTCTAATGTTCCAGACATTACTCAAGGATTACCTCAGGGAATGCCACCTTCACTTCTTATTGGACAGCGGTTTATTATTCTCACCAATGAGCGGCTACAAAATAATGAGACTAGGGTGGACACTGTCGGCGATTCCCACGTGTTGCTATAAAAAGATTCGAGGTCAACTATCGGACAACCATTGATCCACCACGGAGCCTAAAAATCCGGTATCCTAAAAAATTGACAAAACACGACAGAGGTGACGGGCCTAACTTAATAGCCCTGGATAAAGTCTTTACTGCACTTGTTTACCCAACACAGCGCACGAATTTTACTCTCATGATTCTTTTGATCCTTACAAGGATGGCTTTGGGAGTCGGCTTATTTTTATAGAGCGGTTTTGGATAAATTTGTTTCGAGTATTAAGGGGCGATTGTTGGGAGGAGAGATGACCGGAGACAGACGCGACCTTTCCATCTCATTAAATCATACCCAATGGCGGTTCCATCATGAAATGAAGCTAGCTTTGTTCTTACAGTGGAGCTATTGTCAGCAGCGTTGTGTCGAAAATAGGGTGACTGAAATGGATGCAGGGACGGATTTAGGCTGGATGAGACCCTAAGATATATAACGTCCCGATACCCTTACAAATTAAATTACACACTTTAACCAGTTAATCTCAGGAAACGTTGATATCTATGTGGACAATAGAAATAATAATGAATGTGTTTACAAAATCACTGAAATTATATTATTTAACCCTCTAAAAGGTTCAAAGTCACAATTTAAATATATCTTTTTGTTTATATTTCTTATATGCAAAATTACGGATTATGTCATCAAAAGATATATAGCATGACATGCACATTGTGCTAAGTTCAGACAATTTTTCTGGAGACATAGCTGCTCTCAGTTTTAAAACAAGATTTTAAATTTGATATGGCCCCTACAGAATGTGAAGCCCTAAGCTGTAGCTTATTTAGCTTTTGCCTAAAACTAGCACCAAGTGGGGCTTATATTAGAAAATAACATACGATCTTATTAAAATAACATTGCACAAAATAGGAAGCAGAGAACCCGAGAAGACATAAATGGGCCCAAATATTTTCCCATTCCCGCTTTCAGGTTCACAGTCATTGTTTTATTGTTGTTGTTTGTTGCTGGCATCAGTAAGCTTTGGCAGTAAATTGTCCGTGGAAGAGTTTTTTTTTTAGACCTTGGCTTGTTCGTAAACCTTCGTGATAATTCTATAATTTCCTATATGTCAGTTTTGTGCTGATCCTTTTTGTCTGGAGGAGTGGTAATTATTATCAGCGCTACATACTGGACCACTAAGGGCTCCTACACAGTTACATAGCTG